CTCCTGAGCACATCCTCCTCATGGACACGTCCCCCACAAGGTCGTTGGTCCTAAGATCGACACCTCGTTACCATCAGCTCACAAGGACACCATTACTTGCACTGTTCGCTCGTGGGCCGACCTCTGACCACCTCTACCACGACTCATGCTGCCTCGTGGGTCGACACCTCGGACCACCGGGGACGCCCTGGAACTGCACCGCGACGATGCTGTTGGCGGAATAATCTGATCAATGCTATGAACGCTCAAGCCGAGCCTCTCAAGGGGTACCTTCTTCCTCGTAGGGCTACCGAAGGGCCTAGGTTGGGCTGGGCTCACTGTCGTGATATGGAGGAAATCATCCTCGCCCGATGATGAGAGTGCATGCACCCCTCCAGTACTGTCCTCTGGAGGTCTTCGGTTTTGGGTGAGCTAACACAAGGCCTGACAGTGACTGGACTAGTACTGGTCTCTACCTTTAGATAGAGAGCTGTGACGATGATAGGGATGAGGATCCTGAGCAGCCAAGTGACTGCACTAGATACCTGAATGGTGAAGCTTATACAACAATCTCTGTTGTAATAGAGTCCCACCTGGAATACTAGAGTGGTACCTTGAGAGGTGGTCTGTAATACTATGGGAGAGTCGAAGTACTCAGCAAGAGTAGCCATCATAGCTGAGAGCATTGGGATCACTCAACCAAAAGGTGGAGGGAAATAGGAATGAAAGGATACACTGTGGGATGCGAGCAATGATGACAAGTCAAGTACCATCCGAAGCCTTCGGACCGAAGGTCGCACTGCGCATGGCAAAAGCGCGCGCCATCCTGATCGATTTAGAGGGTCTGATGTCGTTTATCGTCTTTTCTTCATCTCCGTGCCTCACCGGCGTTGTGGTTGAGTTGGTTTAGTTGTCCTGGGATGCGAAACTAGGATGCATTTCTCGTTGATCGATGCTGTGTGCGGGAGGGGGCCAGATTGGGGTACCCTTGGAGTTATAGGATATCCCATCCACGACAAATGCATAACAGCTACTCCACGAAGGGGTATCAAGACATCCAGGCGCTACCTGTGGTTACTGCCATTCTAGCGTAGCTCAACAGCAATGATGAACAAGGCTGTTGGAGAGAGAGCTACTTGCATCGACCGACTCCACCTCTCCAACGAGGCATCGCCACTTCTAAAGAGCTGTAGATTATGGGAAGGTCGAGCGGCACAAGAGCTACGAAGGGTACCTTCCAGACTATACCTCCTCTGATTTACGTTAACAATACAAGACCATGATATACAACATGAAGGAGTTCACAAGTCATGCAACAGAACAGCAGTTGTCGGTTCACAGTTGAGGATTATAATGACTACAAAGTCTATCAAGTAGGATATCATACGCATTCGATGAAGGGACATATTTCCCTCCCAAGACCTCGAAAAGGTGAACACCTGCCTCTGCGCACATATTCTCGTAGTCTAGGCTTTCAAGAGTACACGTCATTCTCCCCAGAGGGTCATCGAAGGGCTTTCCGTTATCAGTTGTAACGACTCTTGTGATGGGATCGCTGAAAGGCGATCAACTATTCCACTGCTCCCACTCAATAGGGATCGCCATTCAAGATAGGCTACGGAAAAGTTTTATCAGAAAAGTTGAAGATTTTACACTTAGTCTTTTCCATCATCACGTATGGAACGGAGACTCCTCATAACTGGGTAGCTAAGTATTCTCGACTTTACCGAGTATCCTAAAGTCGACTTACATCCTATACATGGGTCTGTTATCTCCAGGGTAATCTTCAGAGCCACACTGTAGTCGAAGCATGGAGATACTTCCACTATCGCCTCCTTCATCAGTGAGACGAAATATGATCTCAGAATCAAAGGTCCTACTGGAGGGTGGGAGGAGGATACACTCGTTAGAGTCCGGATCAGCATCGACTCTCCAACTCCTCTAACACGACGCATGACAATACGCAGCTGTTCAACAGCCTACCTTGAACCATCTCGTGAGGGCCTTGGGGTTAATTCCTACGGACTGTAAGGAGTCGGCAGTGGGAAGTAGCAGGAGTGCGGTAGATATCCTTGCACGCATGTACAAGAGAAAACGCCTTCTGCGAGAGTTCTCTATAGCGAGTTCCCCTCTAGAAGCGCTATCAGGCATTCATCGAGACGGCTCGGAGTGCGAGCGTCTCACTGATGGAAATTCGGGCAACGTTCGCTACAACCCCAGTGATGACCGTGGGCGTGCGCTTTATACCGGATAGGGGAAATTTAGTGAAATTTCCTTCAGGAAAGGTCTCCTTCTATTGTGTTGAGTCATTCAATTGCCTGGTTTGAATCCTGAGGAGTGCCCCCAGCATGAGTGTACCGTTATTGAGAGGTGGTCGCTGGATGGGTAGTGGGTTTCCAGTTGTGTCTGATAGATCAAGAAAGTATGGCCGACCGACGCACTGTGGGGGATATGCTCGCTGATACCTTGATAACAGCGATGAAGGAGAAAGAGGAGCAGCTCGATAAGGAAATCGAGAAGTATCTTAGGTTCACCCGCGCATGATTCGGAATAGGTCCAGTTGGGTTACATGACGATTCTTCGCATTGAGACATCTCTCAGTGCGGTATCATCTCAGATTAGACAATATGAAAGAGGATGACATCGAGGAGATCAGACGTAAGAGGTTAGAAGAGATGAAGGAGGATTATAAGGCCAGTCTAGTGAGTCTAGTTGTCATCCTTTTACCGAGCAATCCCCTTTCCCATAGGAGCTTCGTTCCAAGGGACATGGTGAATACAAGGAGTTGCATTCTGAAAGAGAATTCTTCGAAGTGAGTATCTTGAGGTTCGTTCGGAGTCACTGGAGTGATGCCAGGCTGCCAAGGATTCAAAGCTCATGGTTTGCCATTTTTATAGACCTACAACATGGCGATGTCAGATAGTAGACAAGTAGGAGATCCCAGGTTCGATCCCCAGTCGTGTCATTCTGCTGTTTTCGCAGGCACTTGTCTGTTCTAGCAGAGAAGTACATCGGCACTCGATTCGTCAAAATCAATGCGGAAAAAGTGAGGGCTTCGGAGTAGCACCAATTCGAAGCCTCAACCATCTCAGTCGCCCTTCCTATGTGATCGATTTAGGATTATGATGCTGCCGACTATCATGCTGGTCAAAGACGGTGGGATAGCGATCACTCCCCTTCCCATCGCCTACCTTCGTAGTGGAGTTGGTATTGCGTATGCTCAGTAGGTAAGACAGAGCACTCGGTGATTGGTTTCGATGAGTTCGGCGGGCGGGATGACTTTGATACAGATGCTATTGAGGAGGTAGAGAGGAGGGTCTGATACGCTATTGTGTAGTCGTTGACAGGTGCTTGCTACTTGGCAGATCATAAAGCGTCGGAATTAATAGCATATGAGAACAGTGTTACACCCTTGAGGGGAAGTATATGTATTAGAGTATCTACAACAACTTGATTGTTGTGTACATTGAGCTCATCATCACTGTTGTTGTGAAGGCCGTAGTTCATGTCAATACCCCTTCGTAAGGTATGTAGGAATGCTTCCAAGCAGCTTAGTGGCTCTGTTAGAAGGATGAGTATCAAGCCAGAGGCCCAAAGGAAGGAAGTTGAGTAAGGCAGGCTGGGTGACTTATACCTTCCTCGGCAGTGTACCAGATGGTCTCGGCGAGTCACTTTGCCGTTGGCTGATGTTGTGCATAAGGATGCTGTCGCGGTAACAGGAAGCTTGGACTTGTTCGATGAGAGGGTCGCATCTAAACAGCATGATGGGAAGCAACAGAAGAGGTGTTGTTGAGTGTAGGGGTTGGGGTACGTTGTTGTAGTAGGGCGCGGGAACAACGACGGAAGGCCTGGATGGGAAAGGAGGTCACACCATGGATGGAGAATGGTTGGGACTATGAGGGGAAGTAATATATAATAGTGATGCTATGTGTATGATATTGAGGTTAGATGGCGAGGGGAGCACCTACCTGAAGACCCTACTGTGCCCTATGGTGTACTACCTAATGCACATCTTCGGAAGGCTGTGCTCATCAAGAAGGACTCTGGCCTCAAGAGGTGAGCTTGTAGGGAGTCGGTGGGCAGGAACGAGTAAAGTCCTTGCATGGTGCATATTATTTGGGCACCAGTGTACAGTATTTGATAGAATATGGTTGCTATAAAATCCTACTTCTTACAACTTGCCCTATCTATGTGTTCACGAGTTCATCATGGGTTCGGTTACACTGCTCACATTACCGTGTTTCTGACGGTAGTGTGGGTATATACTCCTCTGTTGAGTTTCCTTCAGGTGGATACCGATAGTAAACCTTCCTCCAGGAGACCTCATTGAGGTAGCTTGTTCAACCCCTGGGAAGTACCACTTGGACCCAGCATTTTGGGACGCCCTTTGTCGGCGTGCGGAGTACATCAGTCATTGCTTCTCTGTAAAGCAGATTCGGAGGTTGTTGGGTGAGGCCGCCGCCGCCAACACCTATGGATCGCCTCTGAATATGCCATGCCTAGGCGCGTTGGCTTCGGCGGAGTGTAAAGCCCATCCTGGGTTGTTGAGGAAGATGAGCTCAGAGCTGTTGGAGAGGTTCCCACAACTCACGTTACTCACCTGCTCAGAGTGTGCTGAGGCGTATCAAAAGCTTGAGTGAGTATATAACCCTTCGGATTGGAGATCTGTTATTCATGGCGGTATCAATGGTAACTTCCAGCAATGTACTGTATGCAGTCATATTGACTCACGGTTGAGCGATACTTACCACAGTATTTAGTGCAAGCATTTTGCAATGCGCAGGAATTCCCTTCGCGTAGTATTTGATATATGTATCATTGACTGGTCAATACTCGTACTCTATTCATCGTATTACATTGGAAAGTAGTACTAGTAGACAGCAGCATCCAGAGCTGCTCTCAGATACGACCATACAGGTACTTACAATATGTTGGCATTAGCCTTCGTACAGGAAATGGAGGATATTCGATATCCTCTTGTTGGATCCGAGAAGAGCAGGCAGTCTACTTCACCTGAGCGAGCTGTTCAGATGGCAGCGAAGATCCTTACGGCCTTCTCCAAGGCAAAGCTCAATGGTGCCACTCCAAATGACTTGCTCGACTGCTGTGCTCATACATTGTAAGGAATACCCAATATTGCTAGTTATTGGATTCCCTCAACGGAGGCTTCGTCCAGTTGTCGCGGCGGAGTTTGAGTCGTCGGCTCAGGTATTCCCATCGGGAGGTGTTGAAGGATTGTGTGGATGATTATATAGCAGCAGTCGATGCATACAGGAGATTCTCTCGTGCTGTTACGGCGATCGAGATGGCCAGAATCATCTTGGCGTCTGATATCGCGTTGGAAGTGCACCGAATAGGTCGTCTTGCGAGAGCTGTAAGGCTGTGCTGAGCTTCTCTAATGAGCTGGGTTGTAGGTTCACGGGCTGGAGGGGAATGTGATGATAGCGACTGAGTTGGCCGATTGTGTGAGGGCATCAGTGAAGGATGCTACGGCATTGAGAGGAGGAGATACTGTCGAGCTCACTGTAGTCGGGATATTACGCCCGCCTTATATGACGTATTGTAAGGTCCAAAGGGAGGATCATGGCAATGAGTTGGATGAATTTGGTATGCCTACAAGAAGAGTATCTTCGCGGAAGATAACTCTCGAAATCGATCACCTGATCGATTTAATAGAGTGTTTGATGGCTGTTGGGCAGGAAGGTGTGCTCGTCCCCATCGTTGGACATTCATGGTGTTCCGAACAGTCCCTGAAGTCTTGGCTAAGGTCATCACGAACAGCATTGATGACCCCTTACGAGCAGTCCGAGTGTTAGGATGGAGATACAATTTCCCTATAGACCAGCAGAATAGGTGCTGCTCGGGGAGATACTGCCGACTCCATCTCGTCAACAGGTTGGCCGATGTGGTCCGGCTGAGTCAAAGACAGCTCATACCACATGGTTTGAGGGAAGTCATGGAAAATCGAATATTGGCCGGTCGTGGTGACTTCTTGGCATCGTTGGCACCGCTGTTGGAGAAGGAGATGGATAGATTTAGAGAGGACCAATGTGTTATACTTGCGAGGTGCCGGGATCGAACCTGGGTGCTGCGGTGGGAAGTTGGTGTGTAGGGTCTACCACGGCTTGGGTACACAATTTAACGGTATAGTGAACGGATGTCTGAAGCAGCTCAGCAGCAGATTGTCGCAGAAGAGGTGAGCACACGTAAAGCTCGACTATCGTCGATATCCAACGGATCTGCTCAAAGGGTGGTCTCGTGGGAGGAAGGACGAACCCATCCAGGAGCTCGAAGTGAATATAGTGGCAGCTTGCTATGGCAGGAGGAGCCGATCGATCGAGAAGAGCTTGTGGCACAGGTATCATGGTGTAGTAGTTATGTTGTTTAATCTTCATTCTGAAGGTCCTTGGGTCAAATTTTAGCTAGGGGATTTTTGTCAGGTATGCGATACCTTCGACTCATCAATACTCCATCCCAAGCTGCTACAACAGTTCGAAGGACTCGTCCCGCGGATGAGCCCAGAGCAACTCCTTAGGTCACTCTTATTTCCATTGGGATCATCATCCAAACGATCATCTTCATTCAGATGTGCAACAATTCTACCGCAAGCAGTTCGGAGGGAAACTGAACGTCGAGAGAGCGACAACGGCTACTTGTATGGCGATGACAATCCCGACGAGATCGAACAAGTTGCTAAGGTATTTCCATTCCAATATCCATCATTATGGGTGAGTAAGTCTTTGCAGATCCCTCCTCATACAGTCGAAGAGATTCTCACTCGAAGCAACATTTAAAACGAGACTAGCCAACGTCGAAGCCATGAGCTTCACCGTATCAGTTTCCGTAAATTCAAACATGTTTCTGATTATCCTCATTGCGTTGAGCTCAGTGCAGCTTAATGGCTCCATACCACTCCTTCCGGAACTTGTAGTTGTTTTCATAGTTGCTGCTATCACAACATGGGTATGTCCTTGAGTTCGTTGTTTCAGAAACTCGTGGGTAAAGAGGAGATGCGCATCCTCATGGTCGGCCTGGATGGTGCCGGTAACTCACTCTCCTACTATGGCCGCATACCTTATCATCAGGCAAAACTACCATTCTTTCTAAGCTGAAACTTGGCCAGGTGGTCACAACAACACCGACTATTGGCTTCAATGTCGAGACGGTTGAGTAAGAAGACCCATTTGTATGAAATCCTACATTGCTCATACTTAGATATAAAAACATAAGTTTCACGGTTTGGGATGCCTGTGGACAAGATAAGTTCGGTCCATCGTGGACACTCTATTATAAGAATGCTCAAGCTGTCGTCTTCGTCGTTGATTCCAACGATAGGGATAGTGAGAGTACTCTCACCATTGATATATCATCCATCCGATGCCTTCAGGGATGGATGCTGCCAAAGAAGAGCTCCATCGCATGCTCAACGAGGAGGAGCTAAGAGATGCTTGTGTTCTTGTCTTCGCCAACAAACAAGTACTCAGACGCCTCCCTTTACTCCACAATGCTTCTTGTTAGGATCTGCCCAACGCCATGACCATCACGGAAGTGAGAGAGAAGTTAGGACTGCAGTCTCTGAAACATCGTAATTGGTACATACAGTCGGCTTGTGCTACCACTGGCGATGGGCTTTATGAAGGCTTTGACTGGCTCAGCAAGACCCTTGCCGATGCGAAATAAGACTCTTTGGATACGAGTCGCTGATTACTTTTTTATACAAGGGATATCGTCGTGAACTATGTTGAGTTACGTAGTCTGTACTCCAGTGGTGGATAATCGGTGATATTGGTATTCACAATTACCGATGCGCGAATGGTCAATACGAATACACCAGAAGATTAATAAATATGGCACTACGAGGGCAACCACTATACATCTTAGATGTTGTTCCTTGACACGAGTACAGTTTAACGGCTATGCATTGATAGTTATAAGTCATATATGATAGACAATCGGCCCCATGGGTAGTGTGGGACTGTTGGCCGACTCGCCACGAGAAATCAACGTACTTGACCTGATGAAAAATCTAGATGTTGAGCATGCAAGATACAAAATAGGCTGAATCTATCCCTAATTAGCGGCCCGTTCTGTTATCTCATGATGCATCATATATTTCTGGAAAGTTGCACGAGTAAGGGAACACTTATCCTCTACTGGAAGGGGAACATCTAAACATACAGCGAACGTCCTCGTGAGGTTACTGTGTGACGACCCCTCACCACGGAAAGTGCTGTCCTTCCCAGTCCGCACTGACTATGTCAAATAGTTACCAACACATTGACCGTGGAGAAAGATACAAATCCTGCCCGAGGATGGCTACCATTCGCCCACCATCACCATCATGAAGTGGGGAAGTCTGGAAAATGGCGAGCGAAAAATAAAATGACGAAGTTCGAAAAATGACGGTCAAAACAGTGGTAGTAATGTAGATCAAGTGAAGGGGTGCTATTGAGAATGAATCAGCTCAGTGAGTCGTCGGACTGAGAGCTCTGATCAATAATCAGAGTCTGATAGTCTACCTCTTTAAGCTGCATATCCTTTTCATACTACTATCCTCAGACATACTGGAGTGATGATGAATCATCATCATCATTAACGATGATGATCGATCGGCTAGCTTCGAAGGCTTAACCTGGTTCTTAGTAGAAGTGTTCTTCAGGATACGACTAAGGTTCGGATTGTGGCTAATAAATGGTATGTGAAAGGGAGCTTGTTGGGATCATCTCCCATATCGGACTAGAGACCTTCAAAATCGAGGCAGTGACTTGCTAAGGAAGGATCCCTCATGGACTGCAATGCTGTTATTCGATGTTATTCCACCCGAAATCCCCTCCTGTCTCGGCCGGACCACGCTAAGACCAGGTTCACACGATTACTGTTTGACGGAAAGCCTCGTCAGCTTTTGGATTTTGTCATTGACTTGTTGGAGCTGCACACCGACGACACGAGTGAACATCTGACAACATATTCCTACAGAGCCGATGCGCTATGGCTGTTATGTGTTTCCGATTCGGAGACAATGGCTTGGAAGCGTAGCGGAGTGCCCGTTCGCTGGATGATCTGCAGATTCGATACCAGGCCTGCGAGGTCTTCAGAGAGAAGCAGTCGTGAAGTATGTGAATTAACAGGAATGTGTTTCGAAAGGGCGACTCTACAACAAAAGGTTGCAGAGGATCTATACAATCCTTCAGTGGAAGGGTCGATCCAGTCTGTTCGGCAGAAGTCGTAATCTCATAGGGTGATGAGGTCCGTCAGGCGGCTATTTCTCTCAGACTCACCAACCCCTAACCAGTGTTAGTGCATCCTCTGCTGTTTAGTCGCTTACTGATATCTCCAGCTCTTGATTTCCTCAATCCATACGAGCCGTAGCAGTTACGAGAGAATTTCTTCTGAAAGGATGCTGTCAGTATTGATGCCTTCGATAAACCCGTGTGAATCAGGACAACGTTGAGGTATCTACTGTGTAGTTGCTTCCATACTATGTACATCGGGCCATGGCAAGAGCTAGAGTTGGCACGCCTCTTGGCTCGGCATCGATCCATCCAGCGAGCCAACACCAGACAACAGACACACAATCGACTAACAGAAGAGCAGCATGCTAGTACGGAAGGCTCCAGTAACCTCTTCACAATCCTATGGGTCGCCATCTGTGCCTGCAGGGACCGTTCTGCCTCTTCTGAACTCCACCCTTGTGGGCGGGCCTCGATCGACTGGTGCCCTCAACTCCAACCGAAGGAGAGTATCCAACGATTTCTCGATACGTTACGATCGATTACTCGGCTGTCCTGCTGAGAAGCCCCGTTCTGTCACTTTATCACCAAGTATGCTATTGCGATGCTCCTCATTGGCTTTCCATCTCCCGCAGGTATACATTCGCCCGCCGAGCATTCATCTTTACCAAAGCTCGTCTCCAAAACCAGGTAGAGTCCATCCTGAGTCGGTCTGTCGACGGCTTTCTCCTAGGCTCCACCGCAATATCAAATCACGACCACAGCTACCGACGACCGAGAAGCGCCGAATTCATCTTGAGCATTTTAGGAGAGTTTATTGGCAGACTCGAGATGAAAGAGAAACAGCCACGACCAGTCGGTGTTCTGAAGCTCCTTCGAGCCCATGTCCAGTTATAAAACAAGATGAAGCGGATGAATTCAACGACCCATTGATAGCATGGAGCAATGGCCTGGATATCGATAAGCTCCTAGAGAGCCCACGGTTGTCCACAATGGCACAATTTGGTTGACCATCTCGTGTTGTGTTATCAAGTCTCGCGGTCAAATAGTCTTATCGAGTTGAACAGCTAACAGATTGGTGAAATATAGTCTTGTTATTATTAGTACTTGCACCCGTCCGTGTTAGTATGAAAGTGAGTATGAACTACTGTTACTCGATCAACACAACACAATCCTTGCTACACTCACGATACGCATGAACACTTCAGCCGTAGCGACAGCATCCTCGTGTAGTAGTAGCAGCATGAGTAGAGTGTTCCCCATTCCAAGAGTGATCGGAGTGGTGTGGCCCGACAGGGTTAGACCGTAACGGCAACTTCTGAGCAATCGCCTCGAACAGTGCCACGACGTTCTGACCTACCACACCTCGCAAACATCAGCAGTACTAGACAATACCAAACTCACCAGTTTTAGCACTAGTCTCACAGAATACTAGGCCGTGGGTCATGGCGTACTCTCGAGCAGTCGCGAGAGGGACTCTGAGAACAATACATAAAACCCGACGTTATCAAGACCATTCAAACTCTCGGTCAGCGACATCCATTTTATTAGCCGCCAACGCTACGACAATGTCTGGGTTGTTGACCATCGAAAGCTGCTTCACCCTGAAAGGAACGAACTGTGAATGTCGACAGGGCGGTCTTGAGGTACCAGTCTTGAGCCCTCACGAAGCTAGCCATTGACGTCTGGTCGTACACTACTATAGCGCACGATGCGTTGCGGTAGTACATCGGTGCCAAGGACCGGAACCTTTCCTGGCCTGTCGATAAGAGCAACCGTGTGATTGAGCAGTTATCGGGATGAGTTATTATCAGAAACTATATGATATAAAGGAATCGCCGAGCTCAAAGAGAAGTGGTGCTCACCAGCAGTATCCCATATTTCAAACTTGATGGATCTATTCGATCCTGGCACGAGGAGATCCTGCGTGGAGAAGGCGGCACCGATGGTTGTTTGGACGGTATCCTCGAAAGAGTTGTGGACCTGTTCTTGGCACTTCTTTCGATGGCACTGCTTTCCTTACAAATCTTTGCACGAGGGAAGTCTTCCCGACAGAGGCATCGCTAAAGGACGAAGGGTTCATCGAGATTTGATTGTCGAAGCTGTGTACTCACCCTAGTAAGACCAGCTTATAGCCCTGTTTTCTACTCGGAGAAGTAATGATGGTCATACCAAGACGCTAACGTGATTGTTATTGAGGACTGTGATTACTCAACTACTTCGTACGTTTACACATAATAATAGAAGTGCGAAAAATCACTCAGTTTCATAATCGCTGGATCATGAGTGGGAATAATTGCAATTGGCGGGCCAGTACAGGAAACTAGGCTCATATCAAATCGGGATGAACAGCATGATATAAAAAAAGGAAGTGAACAGATACGAGTCGGCATTGGATCGTCCTGACCATCAGTCAATATGAACGAGTAGCTCGTCTGTGAACCCAGGGCTCAAGAAGAGGGCTTCTTCTTGAAGCAGAGGAGGGGGCGGAATATAAAGTCGACAACAAACCTAGTTAGCTCCAACAGCGCGCACGCACATTATGATAAGCCTGGACTTTTCAACGCATGAGACATGATCCTTTAATGAAGGCCCTTCATCCAACTTCGTCCATGC